CACAGGGGTGACATGCGGAAAGCATGAGGGACCCCGGGAGAGCTCCCCAGAGCCTCTGGTCTGGCCAAGGTCACTTCCAGTTGGACGGACGCTGGTCAGCTCCATTCCCATCTGGCCGGACCCCACTCCCTCCCTGGCTTCAAACAGCTGCTGAGTGAGTGTTTCACGCCTTCTCCCTCTCCGCATTTACAGGGCACCCTCAAGGAATCAGAAGTATTGACTCTTGGGGCAACAATAAAGAGAAAAAAAGAGACCCACATTTCCCAAATTCACATGAACTACACGCCTTTGGTAGTTTCTTGACATGGCATGGAACTGGGAATGAATCGAAACAAACAGAGCTTTTCAATTTTTCTGTGTCTGAAATGAAGACTATTAGCACAATCCCAATGTTTCCAAGAAGTCAGCTGAAGCTGAAATAACAGGATAATTCGTTTCACAAACATTGGATGGTGGGAATATTTCAGAAGCCTTCTAAAACTTCCTCAGGGCAGAGAGAAGTCTTCAGCTCAGATCTAATAATAATACTAGCTCTCGGCATTTAGAAAACTGGATCCCTCCCTCCGTCCCTCCGTCCCTCCCTCCATCCCTCCCTCCCTCCCTCTCTCCCTCCCTCCCCTCCCTTCCTTCATCTCTCCCTTTTCTTCATCTTTTTTCTTTCTTCCTTTCTCCTTCCTCCCTCCCTTCCTTCCTTCCTTCCTTCCTTCCCCTCCCTCCCTCCCTCCCTCCCTCCCTCCCTCCCTCCCTTCCTTCCTTTCCCTCCCTCCCTCCCTCCCTCCCTCCCTTCCTTCCTTCCTTCCTTCCTTCCTTCCTTCCTTCCTTCCTTCCTTCCTTCCTTCCTTCCTTTCCCTCCCTCCCTCCCTCCCTCCCTCCCTCCCTCCCTCCCTCCCTTCCTTCCTTTCCCTCCCTCCCTCCCTCCCTCCCTCCCTCCCTCCCTCCCTCCCTTCCTTCCTTTCCCTCCCTCCCTCCCTCCCTCCCTCCCTTCCTTCCTTCCTTCCTTCCTTCCTCCCATGCTCCTTTCCTTCTTTTCTTTTTCAGTCTCTCTCTTTCCCAGCCTTCCTTGAGAGTAGGATAAAGGGGAAAAGTTCTGTTTATTATGAATATTGTGCTCTTTAATCAACAGCAGGCTTCCTAAGCTCTCCTAAGCAGTAGGCTTAGAAAGCAGAAAGAACATAAAAATATCTTGAAAGAATTTAACACTCAGTTAACCTTATACTCCTGATATAAAAGAACCTCTCCTAAATTATGTCATTCCTTTTTATGCAGCCAGTAATTCTTCTAAACAGTATGTTATTTTTTAATTTTACGAACTGTGGTTCAAACACTGCTGTTAGCAGGATTTTATACGTGAACTGTTCTGGGAGCATACCTGCCTCTCAAATGTCCACTTCACCATTGTCTTGTGTTCCACCTACCCCAAGTTTCTTACTGAAGACAAGTTCTCGGCTTCTGCTGTCTTCAGACATTTGTTATTTCCCTAATCTGCTTCTTTATGTCCTCACATGAGACAGATTGTTCTGGGACTGTCCCTCTCCTGGGGTACTTACTTGACTAAGAAAAATGAAACCATGAAACTTTCAGCCATATGAACAGGACTGGAGAGTATTGTGCCCAGGGGAATCCATCAGAAGGATCGGGCCCGTTAATGATTCTCAACCTATTTTGCCTTTTGATAGAGGTTGTAATTTAAATATTCTGGATTTTAAGTAGACGCATAGGGCTGGAGCGATAGCACAGCGGGTAGGGCGTCTGCCTTGCACGCAGCCAACATGGCCGACCCAAGTTCGATTCCTCTGCCCCTCTCGGAGAGCCCGGCAAGCTACCGAGAGTATTCGATATGCCAGACACAGTAACAACAAAGTCTCCAATGGAGACGTTACTGGGCCCGCTCGAGCAAATCGATGATCAACGGGAGGGTCTTTTTCTTTTTAAGTAGACGCATCAAAAAATTCCATAATAGAAAAATAGCTTAGGAGGCATCAAATTGAAGTATAACAGAAAAACCCCATTATACACAGAAGCTGGAAAATACCTGTATTTTCAGTGGTATTATTAAAAATACAGAAATTGCCCATTTTAAGGCCAACCTGTCTTCTGGCCCCTTTCAGTTATTAACTGAGTGTAAAAGCAAACAGAAGAACAAAGTGTCCAGCCTTTCTGCTCTCCCAGGCCGTGCTAGCTCCTGACCCTGCTAGCCCCATCACGGAGCCCCACAGAACGCTTTCCCACGATGCCAGCCCTTCTGAAAACTAACCCCATGCTCACCCTTGGACTTTTGGCATCTGGGAATGGCTTTTAAAAACTGCCAACATGTACCAAGCACATTCTAATACAAATCCCAGAGAAATCCCAAAGTCAGGTGACATAGAAATCATTACTCTCATTAACTCTTTCTGGGGGAGTCATCGTGTCATGCAAAGAAATTCTAAAACATGACCACAAAAGAAACCCATGGAGTGGAGACAGTACTGACAGCTGTGAAGTGATGACTTCAAGACTAAAGTCCCAGTCACGCGGTGGCTCTTGCATTTGCCTTTGAAGAGCAGACTGGGGTCAGAGTGGAAATATGAGGAGTTTGTGTCCTTCCGTCCTTCCAGAGAAACACAATCTTGGCCTCGAGGTGTTGCCTCTTTGCTCTCCTTGGGTGCAACTCTCTGTAGTTGTTTTTTTTTTTTGGGGGGGGGGGATCAGACCCAGTGATGCTCGGGGGTTACTTCTGACTCTACACTCAGGGATCTTGGCTGGTGGGCTATCGGGTCCTGGGGTTGAGCTTGGGTTGCCCCTTTCAAGACAAATGCCCTACCCACTGGACTATCTCTCCAGTCCCAGCCTTTATTGTGAACAACTGAATTTGCTGATAGCACAGCGGTAGGGCATTTGCCTTACAAGCGGCCAACATGGCCCACCCAAGTTCGATTCCTCTGCCCCTCTCGGAGAGCCCGGCAAGCTACCGAGAGTATCTCGCCCGCACGGCAGAGCCTGGCAAGCTCCCCGTGACATATTCGATATGCCAAACACAGTAACAACAAGTCTCATGATGGAGATGTTACTGGGCCCGCTTGAGCAAATCGATGAACAACGGGAGGACCGTGACTGTCAGGAAAAAAAAAAAAAACTTGATCTCCTAGCAGACATTTTTGTGAGGATGATCCTTATGAACAGTGACTTTATAAGCACTTCTAATCATGGTCTTGGGCGCTGGCTGGGGATGGCATGTGGGTCACACAAGTCAGGATGGCCCTGCACAAGAAAGAAGAATTGGAGATTCTTTCCCCATGATTCGACCATGGCCTCGAGAACTGTCTACAGTTCCCCAAGGCCAAAGGAGTTGGCACAGATTCCGAGGGTCTGAAATCCAGGATCTCACCCCCACAGCCTTTTATCCCACGAAGGATGATGGCAGTAAAAGAAAGAACTGACAAGACAGCTCCAGGAGACTGGCCAAGTAACGTCCTTTAAAGTGACACTCAATGGCATGAGAAGTAGGTGGTCTGCTGTGAGCAGGAAAAGGATGGACCCAGAAGAAAAAATGGAAAAGGTGCCCTAGGATAATGAAGAATGCTAGTTTTTTCCCTTGGGTCCCAGGGAGGAAGCATAAATGAGTCGGAAATAAGACTGGGGGAGAGGCAGTAGGACCACCACACATGATGCTGCCCAGGGGCTGTTCCTGGTGCTGGGCTCAGGAGCGACCCCTGCAGGTGCCCAGGAGACCAGCAGTAGTGCTGGGAATTGGGCCAGATCATTGCATGCAAAGCAAGTGCCTTAATCTTGGAGGAGAACTTTAGCTCAGGAGCATTTGAAAAAACAAAACAAAACAAAGAAACAAACAAACAAAGGTAGTCCAGAAGCTGTGGAATCAGAAAGAAGAAGCATCATTTTTCTATTATCTGGCCAGGTGAATGACAAAGACAAGACAAGAACAAGACAAGACAAGAACCAAGGTGAGAAAATAGAAGGAACTCATAGCACTGGATGCCGTCAGCCATTCATTTCCAGCTGGCGTGTGCCAGGTCTGACAGGCGCATTTTCCCCTTTGTGTGTGCCTGTGTCACTGTGTGCGTGCATGTGTGTGCCTGTGTGCATGTATCTTCCGAACATTACTCAGGTTGGGGAGTATCTCTCCCAGTGATACTCCCAGTGATACTCGCAGTGATACTTGGCCAAGTGAGTGAGCGGCTCCCTGCTCAGGCCTGGTGATGGAGTAGGGCATGAGTTGCCAGGGCTTAGCTGGCAATGCTGGCTGGCCCCAGGGCTGGTCTCTCAAGGTGTCAGACCCAGACCCTGCACACACGAGCCACGCCCTGCCCCCCTGTCCCCCCCACCCCCCCCCAGCCAGCGCCCTGCCCAAGACCACACATTTCTAAGGAAGCAGCAGATAGACCCTGGAAGGCACCTGCCATACTGATAAAACTTGGCACACCCCCAAATAGTATGAATGTGCCTTGTGCTCTTGGTAAACTTAAAAACAACAACAACAACAAAAACTTTTTTTTTTTTTCACTTATTGGGGCTGGAGCAATACATAGAGGATAAGGCACTTGCCCTCACTTGCAGTTGACTTGGGTTCGATCCTCGGCTTCCCACAGGGTTCCCTAAGCCCAGCAGAAGTGATTACTGCAGAACCAGGAGTAAACCCTGTAGCCTCCAAACAAACAAACAAACAAACAAACAAACAAAAAGTGACATATATGTATAAAATTGTGGACAATAAAACCAGCTGCTGTAGCTTTCTGCTTCATTTTATTTTAAGGAAAATCCAAAGAGAAAAATCTCCTCACTATTGAAGTTTATCTGTGCCAGCAAAATTGAAAGTTTAGAAGTGAAGTGATGGGAGCTCTTATGATTTCTCAAGGAATTGTTAGTCTTGGTATCCGCCTTTGTGACCAACCACAGATCTGTGGCTTATTTCTCTAGCCCTGGCAGACAGCCAACTGCACATTGCACGCATGTGCTTGGGAACGAATGCCCATCTGATCACAGCTGACCGCTTAGCCACTCACCTCAGAATGCTGGCTGCAGTCACCGTCTCCTTCGTTATCTTCGCTAGAAACACTGGTAATAAGAAAATATGATATAACGTCACTCTGCTTTATGGCAAAGCTCTTTATCCATTGATATCATGATTTCACATATTTTCAAAGTACAGAGTGGCTCAAAAGAAAATGCTTATGCAATTTCAGCAACCAAAAATTTAACTCAAGGCAAATCAGAACCCGAGGACACACACATGGCAATGTCTTCATGGTAGATTTTCTGTTCTAAGCATGTTCCTTGTACTTAAGAAATTCCCTTGGGAAATCAGGGGTTCTCTAATTCGATTCTCTGTCATTCTTATAGTGCATACTGCATTAAGTGGGGGAAGAGTCTATTCATACTCTTACAAGCTACATAAGGAGAAACTTTAAATACCTTTCGCTGGATACCAGTTCAACACCAGAACTCTTCCTCTCATGAGATGGCGTGGGATTGAGACTTTCCATATTCTGCAAGAAAGCACAGCATCGACGGCATGGGTGTCAGTAGAAATGACAGAATATAAAACAGACTTTCCTTTCTTTAGAAAAATCACATAATACTCATTTCTAAACTAAGTCTATTTGGGCCAGAGAGATAGCGCAGTTGCTAAGGTGTTTGCTAGCAGATGGCTGGCTCCAGTTGGATCCACGGCACTCCATCTGGTCCCTAAGCATAGCCAAGAGTAATCCCTGAGCACAGGCAGGAATAGCTCAACAAAACTCTATGAATTCTACTCATATTTTTGTTAAAATTAGGTAAGTTGTGAGTTTACTAAATGCTGCTTGCTCAAAACTGAACTTGATCATCCCTGGAATGGCAATATGTTGACTGCATCGGGAAACTGAATGAGAAGAGAAATCGAGGTAACTGAAAGAAATGTTTCATTCCCTGCTATTCAGTGACAACCTTTATACCAGCTAAACAGAAAACAATACAGACGGGAGCCAGCCTTTGAACAGTTTGTCTTAGGCTGACCAAGAGAACACCAAGCTCGTGAAGAGAAGCGTCTGTAAGGTTTGTTGTCTGCCTACGTGAGCACGGTGAGTGCTGCGCAAATTCTATTTGGGTGACTCAGTGGAGAATAAGTAAGCCATCTCCAAGAAGGAAGATTACTAATCAGCAAACAAGAGCACATTTGCGTGTACTCAGCAAACTAACAAGGACAGAGACGACCAGGAGAGTTAACCATAAATACCACCGAACTTCCAGGCTGCTGCGGCCAGGGAAATTAGCTCAAAAGGCGAAGCATGTACCCTAAAAGCATGAGGACCTGAGTTCAATTCCCACCACTGTAGTCTCCCCAGCACCACTGGGCCTGAACAGTACTTAATCACTGGCCCCAAGCACTGAAAAACCAGCCTGCACAGCCAATGGTGTATTGCTGGGAATGGCCCTGGGAGGCCCTGGGCATTGCTTGGGGCCCCTAATCCCCCCCAATGGATAACTCCATTTAGCACAATCTCCCGGCATCCTGCCCGGGGCAATGCATCTAAGCAGTAGGTGTTCATTTCCATGGTTCTAACTGCTCGTCATGAAAACCCTTTCCCAAAGTGAATCAGATTTGCGTTCACAATAAGTCCACCAAATTGACAAGCACAAAGATTTCCACACAGATACAGCACGAGAGAGAAAAACTAATATTGTGGCCTGGAAGATCTATTTTTTTTATTATCTCTTTATGGGGGTCTGGCCAGTTTGCACGAAATTCTTTATGTTGAGATTCTAAGCTCCCTTGAAGAACAGACTTGAATGAGACTTAAAGAGACAGCCTAATGTGAGAGTTACTTGGGTGCATCTATCTGAAGGCCGGGGCTGGGATTCCAGCTTCCAAACACCCTCCCGGAGTCTTGGTGTCCTTGTCTGAACACAGAGAGAGAGCAACATGCCATAGAAAGATCACGACGAGCATAAATGAGACAACACCCAACACTCGAGGATAACACCTTCTTACTCTTTGATTTTGGGATGTTGGCCCACACTTGGCAGTGCTCAGCGATGACTCCTGGCTATATGCTCAGGAATTGCTCCTGGTGGTACCCAGGGGAACCTTTGCGATGCTGAGACTGAACCCATGTTGGTCACGTACGAGGCAAGTACCCTACTCACTGTACTATCCCTATGACCCCCACATCTGGTACATACAATAAGGATTAGCTGTTATTGTTGCTATAATCCCTATAGGCAAGAATCTCCAAGAATATCATTTTTCCTCTCTCTGTCTGCAGTGAAGATGTCCCAAAAACTGGACAGAGAAGTGTTTTGTCTGCCATTAGAACAAAGTTTTCATTTACTGGACGTAGGCAACCGACACAATCAGTTTTAGAATCAATCTAAAAATAAAGACAGTATTCAATTCTATTTATTTGGGGGTGCACCCAGTGGGTCACTGCCTGTGAGAAGGTCCGGGAGTGGTGAGAGGTGCTGGGAGTTCAGTGCTGGGGTAAAAGTTGGGGTTCCTCCACTTTGAGCTTCTCCCCAGCTCCATCTTTCCATTTTTATACTCCTAGAATTCGAGTTAGAGAGTCCTCTATTAAAAGGCTCTCATTAAACCAAAGCATGATTGTTATTACCCTGATAGAGAGGGATAGATAAAGTCATGACAAAGACACGTTCCTTGCTTGTAACTGGTGCTCCTCAATTGATTATTCAAATCTTTAGTGTGAAATCGAGTGCAAGATCTTAAGGCTTCAGGTTTTATTAATTACCTGAAACCTGAATCCTGGGGGGCAGTAAAACTCTCTACTTTAAGATCATTTTATAATTGTAGCACTGTAGCCCTGTCCTCCCGTTGTTCATCAATTTGCTCGAGTGGGCCCACTGATGTCTCCATTGTGAGACTTGTTACTGTGTCTGGCATATCGAATACGGCACAGGGAGCTTGCCAGGCTTTGCCGTGTGGGCGAGATACTCTTGGCAGTTTGCCGGGCTCTCTGAGAGGGGCGAAGGAATCGAACCTGGGTCGGCCGGGTCGGCCGTGTGCAAGGCAAACGCCCTACCGCTGTGTCAAAGAAATATATTTATGATTATAGGCAATGACTAACTCAGAAGACATAAAACTCTTCAGATTATGGCTAAGATAAATTCAGAACAATTAGGAGAAAATAAGGGCAATCAGATTATATAAATTTAGTTACATTTCCCTTACAAGATTTTATTTAGAGATGATATTACTAGATTGATTTTTCTAAATAGAAAGAACAAAAATATAATCAATATAAGCTTGAGAATTTGGAAGAAGGAGAATTGTGTTATCCAGTAAAAAGTCCCTGCAAAAGAGCAGTTGTGTAATTTGGCCAAGTTTAACTTATCTCCATAGTTAAGGCAAACAAGTAATAATTTCTTTAACCTAAAAAAACCTGATCCATATGTTGAAAACCTCCCCAAGGATCTGAGTTTTCAGAAACGTAATTCACACGAAGTGACATTCAACATTATTCCGTATTGCTCTCGAAAGCTTTGCAGTACCTCCCGGTCTCCTGTTCTTCCCCACAGCTTTGATACCTGTTGAATATTCATGGTCTGTTTTCACTAGAAAGTATGCAAGAACACAGAGTTCCTTTGCTAAGGCACTTCTACCCCTGTGCCTTTTGGAAACCAGGAACACGTGAAAAATGTGTTATGCTTGATAACCTTCCCCGGTTTAACAAGGGTGGCAAACGGCTGTGAGTGGAGTTGGGCAAGCCTTTCCATGGGCATAAAATGTCTGATAAACTCAAACTTCCCTACTCTACCCAGCTCTGTAATTCCCCTACTTTACAAAGAAGGAAGAAGGAGGAAATGAGATGGCCAAGTAAAACCAAGGCTGAAATGCAGACTGTGTCCACTTTGGAAGTATCGACAGGGCTCTCAGATGTTCTGTGGTGCTAAGGCACTTCTCTTGGGAGGAAACACTGACTCAATGTCTCCTGAATTTTCCACGTGTTTTAAGTCCCCCGTTTCTAGGTGTGGCAAAAGAGTAGTTCATCAACATTTTCATTTATCATTAAGGTTCAAAATAAAGATATACAAAATGTTTTAGGAAGGGCCTGAGAGAGTGGGGTTAAGGCTCTTGCCATGTGTGTTACCGACTGGTTTGATCCTCAGCACCACATATGGTCCCTGGAGCTGCCAGGGAGAAATTTCTGAGCACAGAATCAGGAGGAAGGACTCAGCACAGCCCAGGGTGGCTCAGAAACCAAAAGCCAGAAACAAACAAACACAAATATGTTTTTAAGTCTCATATTATTTGAGGAGATAGTGACATGAGTTCACTATCTTTCAACCTTCCAGCATGTTGCTATTAAAATTCTTTCTTGACCCGTTACACACACAGAAGTTTTATTATATCGACTCCTAATAAGTCTTCTAAAGTTAGGATCTTTCAAAAGTGTTTGCAGAGGACATACAGTGACGCTAAGTATAACTCAATGAAACTGCTTCTTGTACTGCATTTTTCAGAAAGCAGATAGAGTCTAGGTTTTAATCCACACAATTCTGCCTCATAGAAGACTTAGCAGATACAAAACATGGGCATCTGCGTGGACGACGTAATTTACTTTGACAACGCAGGGACAACATAAACAACTGATTCTTAAAATCCACCCCTGACAACTAGAAAAATCACATCGGATCTAAGAAGAGCAAAAGCCTTGAAAAGTTGGCAACAGACTGGAGGATTTCTTTCCCCGCTCCCCTCCTCCCTGTTTTGGCTGAAAGCTCAGCCCTAAACTTGTCTGACCACTGAAGCGCTTGAAAACACTTTGAGCAAAAACAAATTTGTCTTCTAAAACTGTAAACGCTGACAAAGCCTTTACAGAGCACCCTGAAAAAAAAAATGCTTTCTCGCAGTCCGCTAATAGCTTGATCTGAAGGTTGCAGGCAAAGCTCCTAGTCACAACAAGTTCATTATTTTAACCTTGAGCTTCAAGAGAAGGACACTATTTGACATATTCTCATAAGCAAAAGACTAAAGGTGGATTTGAATTTCTTTCCGTACCCTTTTGCACATTTTCTCTTCTACTGCTCAAAACTGCGTAAATGAATCCCTATTCCAAATGACTACCTCCACAAAAGGACATTTATCAAAGGGTTTGCTTGTTGTCCACCCAAATTCAGTCTGTTCTCCAGTAGCAATGAAACAGTCCCACGCCCAGCCACTAGACAGGCCCCAGCTGCAATTTCAATTAGGCGTAACCATGTGATAACCTTCTCTCCAGCAGGGTATGGGGTTTGCTGAGGGACCTCCAGGCCTAGCCAGTCAATAGCCTGAATATTCTCTGATGCTTGCTCTCTTCCTTGTACTGCATGGAGATTAAGGGCCATGAGAGTGACTTGCTGAGATCCAGGGATGCAGTTGGCCTCAGTGGAAACTATACAGAACAATCTTTATTTTTTCTTCCTGGCCTTGACCTCTTTGTTGTCATGGAAGAAAGACCTCAAACCCAAACCCTACTCAAGAGACATTGTGTTTGGGTCTCCTTGTTTAAAA